TACAGATAAATTGGCAACACTAGCAGTAAAAATAATTCCAACAGGGTGGGAATTTGTAATAGTAAAGTCAACAAGAATCAATCTAAAAGAATAAGCTCTTCAAGTTGTAATATGTCGAATGAGGATACTTTATCAAAAGTCATTGCTGGTATAAAATATCATAACGTAAAAAACTCGACATATTTTCTACCTAGCGATAATGAAGAAGCTGATAGATTACATTTACAGCATTACATATTAAAAAATGTTTGGCAAAGTAACTTTTTCGCCCCAGTTGAACATCTTCTTAGACACGAAGGAGCAAAGGTTCTTGATATAGGGTGAGTGATTTACTTTAATTATTATTATTACAGTATTATTATTATGATATTATAGTAATAACGATTTTTATTTATAATTACTCCAGAACTGGTGCTGGTTCTTGGTTATATGAAATGGTTACTGATTATCCAAATGCAAAATTTACTGGAATTGACATTTCACCAGTTCATTCTAATCATACCAAACCAAGTAATGCTGAAGTTATTAATGGAAACGTATTAGAACGTTTAGCATTTGATGACAATACATTTGATTATGTATTTCAACGGGTATTATATTCTGGAATCCCTGAAAATAAGTGGCCGTCTGTGATTAATGAGCTTGTCCGTGTACTAAAACCTAATGGTTATTTAGAGGTTTGCACTAACTACAGTATATTAAACTACCAATATAATAAACTCATAAAACATAATTTAATTTATTTTTTATTATTATTATTATTATTTTGGTTTAGTTATTAGAGGCCGACTTTAAGCCTGACAATATGGGACCCGCAACAACGAAGATTACTGATGGCTGTAAGAATCATAATAATTCGTTTGTTAAGATGGTCCATTGCAATACTGTACTGTTTTTTAATTTTATGTATGCTTCTTAGTATCAATGTTGTTTCATGAACATGGCTTGGATCCACATGTATGTTATAAATTACAAAATCTTTTGGAGGAGCAGGGACAACTTCATGATATTCATTGTGAAATAAAGAAAAAAATTGATACAAAAGATGCCGTAGAATTGCAAAAATTGGAAACATACAGGTTTAATAAATTATTTAAAATTTGAACAATATCAATTAACAAAAATGTTATTTTATATTGCTATTTAGAATTCTCAAAATTTCATCACTGCCATCAGGACTTTAAAACCTAAACTTGCAAATGTAATGAAAGTTAGGGATGGCCACGGTCGGTCATTTCCGGCTAGCCGTTTTGTAGCCGTTAGCTGTATTTCGCAATCCTGTGGTCCAAATTGGATGATTTTAGTACCATTCGAATCGTCTCATTGAGACGATTCGAATGGTACTAAATTTATTCAATTCGGATCACTGGATCACGAGATAGCCGCGGCTTAGCCGGTCGGCTAAGCCGAAAATGACCGACCGTTGCCATCCCTAATGAAAGTATCTAACGATGAATATGACGATTTGGCTAACAAGATGGATGATGAATTAAGTAAGTTAAAATATGTTAACACACAAGTACGTGTTTATGCTAAGAAAAGAAATTAAAATATTGCTTAAAATGGTATTTCAATATTTGATAAGATGCTAATTGACTAGTTTATTAAGTATAATCGTGAATATTATAAAATACAATTCATTCGAATATTAGATTTAAATTTTTTATTTTATTTCATGATGTTTTTAAGTCATGATAAATTAGCTACTACATTGTTGATTTTCTAATTAGGTAGCTGTGCGACATAGTCGCGCTTAAACAAGAGATTGTCTGCGTAATAGGTTTACTAGAGTTGGAAGGTTGCAACCTTACATCCCGAAACTTTAATTTTTTGCTGTATTAGGTGTCATAGTCATAATAGGTGTAATGATGTAGTGGTTGTAATAGGTGTAATGCGTAACGGGTATAATGGTCTGATTATGCCAGTGGGTAATTTCTGACGCAGTCACACTAAACCAGATATTAACAATATTTCAGTGATTTTGAAAATTTATAATCTTATAGATTATAACGGAATCAAAGACTATGAGTTGCTAACTTCAAAAAAAACCAAGAACTTATGTGAACAAATGTCATATGTAGGTTGCCAATTAACCATGCGCATTGCCTGCATATTCAAATATATACTACAAGTATTAGTGGGGTGCCTCTGGCGTAATGACTGGACTCGTGTTAACACGTAACTCGCGAATTAAATTCCCAAGAGTGCTCGAATCATTCGAATAATAATATTCTTCGAGTTTTATTCGAGTTATTCGAGTTACAATAACTAATTTATTGAAAATTTTGTAAATTGAGTTACAAAAGCAAATAAAGAGTCAAGCAAAGTAAATACAATTCAAATTACATGTTATTATCACAGATTATAAGTTATGTAAACAAGTAGCATATTAATTGTGGCAGCTTATGCTGAGATTGGATTATGCTGGGAATTTGACTTATTTTATTATCAAAATTACAAAAATTTTTGGGCCTTTTTTGTAGTTCTTTTGTTTTATAGTTAGGTTAGAAATTAGGGTTAGTATTTATAATAAAAAGTATATGTGGATTTTAGTAGCTGTTAGGGATTTAAATGAGGACCCCAAATCTCAGCATAAGCCGCCACATTAATTATTTTTCAACTTGAAATAATGTGTCTAGCAAATTCATGATTCTTTTTAAAAATAACACCTCACCCACCAATTCTGGATCAAGGTTTTGCTTTGCTGTAATAGTACTTTGACTAATTTCTTCAGCATAGGATTCCTCCTGTTCATTACGTATTGCTTTAGTGTTCGTTATTTGTATAGATGGAAATGTCTTAAAAGTTATTAAAAATTTTTTATTTTATTAAATATAGTAAGTATATAGTTTATTTAAATTTCAATGTGCTATATATAAAACCCCGTTTTGGGTTGCTTTTATCATATGCACAGTACACTCTAGTCTTAACATTATTTAACTACATTAAAATTACATATGTACGTACGTATTTACTATGTATAATTACAAATTTTAGTATTAATTATTTTAACATACGTAGCACGTAATTTACATTAATAATTAACTCGCAAGTAACTCGCGAGTTAAATTTTCATGATTCAAAAAATCATAAATTCGAATTATTCGAGTCACGAGTTGACAAGTCCAGTCACTACTATGGCACCCTTTTATACAATTTAATACAATTCATTTTCATCATAGTACACTTTTGATATAATGAGAACTAATTCAAATATTAGTATAGCAATATTAAGCTCTAGTTAGTTTATATAAAATTTTATTGTGATAGTTAATTTTTAAAACATTTTCATTAATGAAATAAATTACTATACTATAATGAGATCGAGAGTGTTTATGGAGAGTCGCTGGTGCTCTTACAATATTAGGACAAATAAGATATAAAACTTGTATTTAATGAAAAATTCTTAAATTATAAACTATTTGAGGATTACTATCATAGTCAAATTGTAATAATTTTAGGGAAATTTAAAATCTTGAGTATTGTAAAAGCTTTAAACATTATTGTCATATTGCTATAATGTTATGCTATAATATCATATTTCTAAATCAATATTTTCAAATTATGCTTTTAAAAACATGAACTCACATACTATTAAAATTACTAACACTTGATTCTTAAAATTTTAAGTTATTTATTATTGAAATTACTGTTAAAATTATGAACTAATCTACTATAAATTTATTAACTTACCTACTACTGTAATCTATTTTACTGTCACCTACTTATTATTAATTAACAATTTATTTATTGTTGAATTATAAAACATCTACTATTATATTCTTCTAAAATAATATATTAATTTCAAATTTGCAAATTGTGGTCTACATATAAAATATCTGCTTATCTGATTGTATAATTATATAGAAATTTTTTAACTAAAAATTTAATATAAATGTTATATTTTACAATTTTAGCAATATTTACTAAGCTCATTATTTGCAATTACTAATTAGTACTAATTAAATTATTGTAATATTATTTTGCTTACTCTTAAATTGTAAAATAATCAAGTTGTTACTTCCAAGTGATATGTCCTGAGTTTAAATTTTACAATATATATAACAAATAAAAAAGATACCAGAAATTCAGATATCTGAATAATATGTAAGAACTTTGTTAATTAGAATATATTCTAGTAGATTAAATACTTGGTAAAGTAATTTGTATATATTATTGTAGACTATCCTTATAGAAATAATCAGTTATATTTTAGTTTTACTAAATATTCTAATCTAGTTCTGCTAATTATATTAATTAAAATATATTTGTAACTTTAATAATACTAACTAGAATTAGAAGATCAAAATATATTTATAAAATATATAAATTATATAAAGATTAATAAATTTGTAACTATGGTTACTGCATCTATATTCAATAAAGCTAATCAAACTTTTAAGATCAAGTATAATATAAAATTAAAACAAATTTTTTTTTAAAAAAATTGGTAATAACTCAAAATTTTGACTATAAAACTATTTTTTATATTTTAACAAAAAAAATTCTTGTTAAATTTTGATATAAACTAGATTTTTCTTATTTCTAGCCTTATTCTAACTCTAATCTTAATTGCAAAGTTTATTTTATAACAAAAATTAGTTTGATAATTATATTAATCTAATCTTAATTAAGGTTATTATAATCTATAATTACAAAACAATTAATTTATTATATAAAATCTAGATAGAATAGCTAATAAATCTAAAAAATTAGAAATATAGAAATCTACTTATGAGAAGAATGCAAATCACTAACTCTTCCTGATATTTATTTTACCAAACTTCTCTTGAAAATATTTGCTATTTATTAAAAATTTTATTAAGTAAACTACCTTTAGCTGTCTAAGTAAAGTTTGTTTTATATTTAATTTACTTATAAATAATTTAGTTTTATAGCTCCAAAGCTTCTTGCTACAGAGTTATAACTATATTCTTAAAATTTTACTCTTTTTCTGTTTATATAAAATTTAATTAAGTAAACCTATTCTGCTTCTTAATAGAAAAAGATTAAGTTCAACAAGAGCTTCATTTGATATATAATACTTCTTAAATAGATAAAAACTATAATTTTTATAGCTAAAATACTTCTAAATTTTATTACAAAACTACACTTTAATTTTTTGTTAAAAATTTTTTATTTTTGGAGATTCTGGCTCTTTAGAATGCCTAAACCTGCAGATACCTATTACTAATCAACAATTATTAATTAATTTACACAATTTAGCCTCTTGTTATAACTATTTTATATAAAAATCAAACTTACTCTTTTAGTTTTAATAAATTTACACAAATTTTATCCTCTGTCAACCCTATTGATCTGTTTATCATGATACTAAATACA